AAACACAAGATTGGCACTCTGACATACAAATAGTGGAGGGATCTCCACAGAACGCAGAATTAGCAGCTGTTGTCAGAGCCTTTGAAAAGTTTAAAAATGAGCTTTTCAATCTGGTTACAGATTCAGCTTATGTTGCTGGGATAGCGATGAGAGCAGAACATGCTCTTCTCAAAGAGGTCTCTAATCCAAAGTTGTACCAACTGCTCTCTAAATTAATATACCTAATCTCCCACAGAAAGCAACCTTACCATATAATGCATGTGAGGTCACACACTGACCTCCCAGGTTTTGTTGCAGAAGGCAACAGAAAAGCGGATGCATTAGCAATGGCAGCAGAAACTGCTAATGTTCCTAACATCTTTGCCCAGGCAAAGTTGTCACACGCGTTTTTTCATCAAAATATACCTGCCCTTATGAGAATGTTTAAGCTCTCAAAGGATCAGGCAAAGGCTATCGTGGCTACGTGTCCGAACTGTCAGAACTATCAGATACCATCCATGGGGATGGGAGTCAATCCCCGAGGTCTGAATAGCTGCCAGCTGTGGCAGACAGATGTAACTCACTTCGCACCTTTTGGAAGATCAAAATACGTGCATGTATCGGTCGACACATTTTCAGGAGCAGTATTTGCATCATCACATGCAGGAGAAAATACCATGCACACAATAAAACACTTTCTCCTCGCTTTTGCCACCCTGGGTGTACCAAAAGAGATTAAAACAGATAATGGACCAGCCTATACTTCGCACAAGTTAAAGGAATTCTTCAATGAATGGGGAATAGGACACAAGACCGGCATACCTGTGAACCCCACAGGACAATCCATCGTGGAAAGGACACATCAAACCCTCAAAAGAGTCCTCGATCAACAGAACAGAGACACGAGAATCACATCTCCAGTGGAAAGACTTTGCAAGGCTCTCTACGTCATCAACTTCCTGAACTGTACAGCATCAGAGCCTGACCCACCAATACTTCGCCACTTTGCAAATACCACCCAAGCAAAGCTCACTGAGAAACCACCTGTGCTCGTGAAGGACCCTGAAACACACCAAATTTCTGGGCCTCACCAGTTGATTACCTGGGGTAGAGGATATGCGTGTGTGCTACTACCATCCGGTCCCAGGTGGTACCCAGGAAAAAACATAAAGCCATACTTAGGCACTGCGAACACTATTCCTGCAAACAGGAACAAGAACTCTCCTGAGGCAAACACAAGACCACCTCAAAACCAAACCAGCTCTGCCTGGAGACGAAGATGTCGCCGAATACCCACAAACACAAGAACAGACCACCCCATTACAAGACAGCAGACAAAACTGAAAAGCTAAACAACAGTCTGCTGCATCAGACCATAGATAGCCTTAACACAAAAGTGTTCTCTGAACTATATGTTGTTACACTGGTTTTTTTTGTATTTAAAGAAAGAAAAAAGAAAAAAAAAACCCTGTTATTCCCCTTCCCTAACCTTTTAAAACCCCTTAACCCTCTACCCACTCCTCCTCCCATAGTGTAGCTTAGAAATTAAAAGAAAAAGGGGGGGAGGAAGGGAACACAGAAAAGAACGAGGCAGAAAACCCTCTCATCATAAAGATAACAAATTCTGCTTATATTCCCTATCAGAAGCCCTATTCCTGCCCAAAGATGAAAAATATCTCTGTTGCTGCTGTCCTCACTGCTGCCTGGATGTTCTTCACCGTACCGCGTGCCTTCAGCTGGATTAGCCCACAGCCTAGCCATAATGTTTGGGTAACCTTAGCAAAAACATTAAAACAAGACAACATGTGCTTGTCCATGGGAAGCATTGATAATCCACTTTCCACATGTCTAGTAGGAATTCCCTTTGTAGCAGATGACTGGCCTGTCTATAACTCAGAGCTTCTCCGCACCACAGTTAAGAGACCCAATGTGGTTGATACTTGGGATGAGTGGACAAAAATTCTGCCAGATGCTCGAGAGGAACCCCAAGAATTAGATCTGTTGGGGTCCTCCAAGGCCACATACTGTGTCAAATTTTACTTTAGACGTCCAAAAAACAATTGGCCAGAAATTGACCAGAACAAAAACATATCGAAAAGAGATATCACCAATGAACAAAGCCTATAACTCTCATGATTGGTGCAATTACACGGCTCGTGTGATTTCTGTGTCCTCTCTCCATCCCAAAGTATTACCCAAGGGAATATTTCTCATCTGTGGTGACAGAGTATGGGCTGGGATCCCCTCCCGACTCCAGGGAGGTCCCTGTACCCTTGGAAAACTTTCTACCCTTACACCAAACATCACCCTGTTACATAATTGGAAAAAAGAAAGTGAATCAAAATGACAAAAAAGGTCCTACACTGAATTTGATGAAAATTGTGATCCTAAATTATACAATTGGAACAAACCAAAAAAGATTGCTGTCTCCCTGTTCTTACCCTGGGTAGCTGCAGCTAAAGCCCTCAGTGAAATTAATCACCTTGGGTGCTGGCTCAGTAAACAAGCTAACGCTACATCTGCAGCCTTGAGTGATCTCTTAAAGGAAGAAGAAACCACAAGACATGCTTCGCTCCAAAATCGAGCAGCAATCGACTTCCTGCTGCTTGCCCATGGACATGGCTGTGAAGACTTCAAAGGGATGTGCTGCTTCAACCTCTCTTCATGCTCAGAATCCATCCAGGCGAACATCCAGAAACTGAAAGATCTCGTGAAGGACTTGAAAGTAGAAAGAATCCCAGACTGGGTCAATGAACTTTTCAGGCAATGGGGATTAACAGGATGGGCTGCATCCTTGATTAAGGGAATGTTGTTGATTCTCCTTGTAGTTGTTATTGTGTTAGCTATGTTCTCGTGCCTTGTTCGCTGTTTCAAAAGAACTATAACGAACGCCTTTTTTGTAAAAACAGAAAGTGGAGTTGTAGTAAACCCCATAGATTTAGGAAAAGCACCATGGAGGATATGAACAATAGGAATGCTGAAACAGCAAAAGAAAATTCCTCTTTTCCTGTCCTCCACCCCTTAACCTATCTCTGTAACCCTATAAGGCAATGTCATGTTAACCCCTTACCCATTGGTCAAGCTTGGATCCTTTCCAACCCTATAAAAGAAGCATACTGTACCCCATTAGGGGAGAAAGAAGAAGAGCAGAGACCCTTCACGGACCTCCCCAAATAAAGCCATCTCCGTGGAACAGCCTGCACCTTCTCCTTCTCCTCTCTCTCCATCTGCTGCAGCCTCCAGCCCAGGGCACCACTACCTAGCAAGCAGAGCTGAAATCCTAAGAGCTTGCAATCACTATAGAGCTGATAATCACCATGCTTGCTAGATAGTAGCCCTGCGGCCTTGGCATGAGTGAGCTAGCTTCGGGCACCCAGTCCCTACCCAGGGACTGAGCTCCTGAGCCCTATTGCTCTGCTTTATAATAACGCCAAATAAGAGGCTTTATTAAGGTTGCACAGAACTGGGAGAAATTGTTTGGGTAGCAGAATTTTGCCAAGACAGTGCAATAAGGTTGTTCCAGGATGGTTGGGTGACTCTAAGCTGGTCTTCTCATTGGACAGGGTAATGGCCATCCCCAACCCTGAGTGACACTCTTTCACTGTCTTTAGTGACCAGGCAGCCTCTGAAATTTACTTCAGGAAATATTTGAAGAAGCTTAAGTCTGGGTGGCAGGGACCGGTACAGATGTGGGATGGTTCTTCTCAGCCCAGCCCATCTTAAGACAAATGGAGGCATGCCACCCACTGTGAGATAGGATTCCATTGGCCTGGAAGCCAAGAAGAACATCCAGAAGCAGGCAGATTGACACACAGCCCAAGGCATTCTGAAGCTTTCCATTAGATGGAGAAAGTCAATGTTCACTTGCTTTCACCTGGATGAGACAGTAAGTGCCTTCAACAAGGCTTCCTCATGGAATCCCTCTAACATTTTTCTTTCCCTCTCCCACCAGTCTAAATATTGAGGTTTGATTGAAAGGATATAAAATTAAAGGGAGAATTTTTACAGTATGTAGATGACTTGTTAATTAGTGAGTTAAGAAGATTTTTGCCCATCCTGTGGTGATTAGGTGCAGCACACAGGCAAACCAGCACAGCAAGCTGCAGTTTGTGTCTCTGCAGCTGGCTCTTTGGTTGCTCCTTCTCTCCATTGGCCACACTTATACAGCCCTCTCATCTTCCACAACTCCTCCCTTTCTCTGCCCTCATCTCCTCCCAAATATGGAGCCAAGCCCAGGCATCATTTCCCCCTGGCTCACAGGCTGGCCATGCCTGTGAACAGCCGTGGTGTTGCAGGTGGTGTTGGCTCACTCACCTTGGCCTTCCACGGCATTCCTGGTGTGCTTTCCTAGGGTTCCTGCCAGGTTCCTCTCCCCAGAATGACCCCAGCTCTTCCTCTGAGTATCTGTGAAGTGTGACCACCTGGCACCTCAATGCCCCTTTGCTGCCTGTGAAATCTGGCTCTGCCTTAGGGCACTGGCACTCCAGTCAGGAGCCAGGAGTTTCCCTTGTCATGCTTGGAAGTTTCCCAGATCTGTTCCCTTAGCCCAGGCTCTCACCAGGCCCTAAATCAGCAGCCCATGTGCATTTGAGCACCACCCCAAGGTATGTGCTTTTTTCCTATCCTCTTCCAAGGCTTGAGGTAGCAGGTTCCTCCAGGCCATGGTGGCTCAGAGCACTTTTCTCTCTGATCAGGCACTTTGGAGCTCTTTGGAGCCACTGTGTCCCTTTGTGCCCCCAGGCTCGTTCTGCAGGTGCTGAGCATGGCACTTCTTGTCTTACCCCGGAGTTGGAATTGCACTGAAAAGATGGTTCCATGTGAACAAAGGTAATTTTATTTCAACAAATATCAATCAACTAAATCAACTCCAGTGTGTGTGTGTGTGCACAGAGGAGATGAGTGTGGTCAGAACAGAGAAGGGTTTTGACCCTGAGGCTGCCTTTGGAACAGCAGGCATTGCCCCAGCAGGAAATGGTTGTGGTGCACTGCAGCCTGCCCTGGATCCTGCCTGGTTCTGCTGCTCAAGGAGCACTTTTCATTGCCTTTACACGCATATTGTAATCGATCCAATCATAGAAGTACTGAGTGGAGCTGTAGACTCCAGGCTGCATTGCTCTGGCACAGCCTTTCCCCCAGCTGGTCACTCCGATGACCCACCAGAAGTCAGCGTTGTTGTCCTGGCACATGAGAGGACCACCGCTGTCACCCTGCAGCAGAGCACAGAGGATTAAGGTGGTGTTGGTGGCACCTGCCAGCACTGGGGCTGTCTCCTTCTCTCTCACAGCCCCTGCCAGAGCTTTATTCTGGGCAGAGAAAAGTTCTGCTCAGAGGCTGGAGCCTCAAGAAGCTTGGCTCTGAATGAGTTGGGTTCTTGTAGGGTAGGGCTCTCTCTATCCTATCTGCAAAGGACTCCTGGATGTGCAGAAGATGGAACTTTGGCACCTGGACCTCTTCACTGCCAAGAGCACTAGCTGGCCTTTCTGGGCTTTCTGGCACAAGGGGAGGCCTGGGCAGGCAGGTGTGGATGGGCAGTGTGTGGGAAGCCCCCACAGCAGTCAGGGGGAGCTGGGGCTGGGAGGGTGAGTGAGTGGCCAGGCAAAGCAGGCCCTGGGCTGTGTTGGGGTGGTGCTTCCCTGGCTGCTGGTGCTGCTGGGGGCTGAGTGGCTCGTGGCATGTTCCTACCTGGCAGGTGTCGATGCCGCCCTGTGGGTATCCAGCACACACCTGGTGGGTGTGGATTGCCCCTGCATACCAGTCACTGCTGTTGCAGACCTGGAGATTGATGAGCTGGACCTTGGCCTCCTGGAGGCGATCAGGTGGATCTTGAGCTGTGAGCAGAGAAAGGAATAAGCCTCTGGCAGCTCCATGCCAGTTTGCTCATCTCTCAGGGGGATATCCCTTTCCCTAGGGTTTGGCTTTGCCTCTGCAGACACACTGGAGTGCTGTGACCCTGCTTCCTGCCTCTGGGGAGCAGGCCAGGACCATTTCTCCAGACGTGTACATCCTGCAGCCTGGCTTTGGTCTCTGCTGTGGGGAAGCCCAAACCTTCTCCTCAGTGGCCTGAGCTGCCCAAGGTGTTGTTCTTGGTACTCACATCTTGCAGCAGTGGCACCCCAGCCAGCCACCCAGCAGTTGATGAGCTCTGAGACTCTTAGGGTGGGTTCAGCCACACAGGCCAGCTGGATGTAGGAGCTGCACTGGACAGGATGGTCCAGTTGCATCAGGGCAATGTCGTAGCTGTAGTCGATAGGGTTGTAGTACTGGTGTAGCACCACCTGCTTGACACTGCGCACTGCAGCCCCAGGGCCCGGCTGAGTGAACTGGGTGGCCCCAATCACCACGGAGACCAAGCTGGCATTACTGGAAAGGAGATGGAGAGAGGGCTGAGAGAGCAGCCCAGCAGTTGCTGGACCTCATCTTGGAAAGGCATAGAGGGAACAGTGTTCTGGCAGGTGTGAGTGCCCTCGTACATCTTAGGCTGGGGGAATGTCAAGCTGGAGGCTGCTAGGAAGCCTTGGCATGAGCCCAGGCTTCTCCTGAGCACTGTGGCAGCCTGGCTGCCTGAGAGGAAAAGGCATGGGAGTAGCAGGTGGTGCTGCTGGCAGGGCACCTGCTGGTGTTGTGGACATGTCCCCATTCCCTGCTCCTCCTTACCTCATACCATCAAAGCAGTGGGCTGCTGTGAGGACCCAGTCTGGACTGATGAGGGACCCTCCACACAGATGTCCCAGGCCTCCTATCCATGGGTGCTGGATGCTGACGAGCCAGGGCCAAGCTGCTTCTGTGGCACTGGCACCACCCACAACACGTGTCATGCCATAATCATAAGCCACATTGCCGTAAGAATAAGTCATGGGGCTATATACATATTGTGGAGGTCGGAGTCCGCAGGTCCCTCTGCAAGCAGAAAGTAATTTCCATGCTGCTTCATGGCCTGCTGTGGCTCAGGCTGAAGCTCAGCCCTCTGCCCTCCCCACAAGGGCTTGCACGCACAACAGGCCAGGGAAGCCCATGGGGTGTGTGTGTCCGTGCCAGCACCTGGCTGCTGGCAAGGAACTGAGGCTTCCCATGGTGGGTGGGAAGCTGTGGCCTGGCCATGGGGGGCAGGCACGTCCCCTCCAGGGAAGGCCGCAAGTGTTGCCATGGCTCCTTCCCTGGGCCTGGGGCCACTTACCCGCAGTTGTCCCATGTCCCGTGTGCCAGCCCAGCCACGGTCAGCTGGACGAGGAGGCCGAGCCAATTCATGGCTGCCAGAGGCACGTGTCAGCTGCAAGCACTGAGAGCTCCGTGCAGCAGCACAGTCACAGCCGCACTGCCCGCAGCAGCTGCGCTGCCTGTGGTGCCCTTGGTCCTGGGGCTGATGTCACAGAGGGGTGGGTTCCATGTTCTGAGCACTGCGGGGTTCTGTGGCACAGGGCCCACTGGGGGAGGGGCAACGTGGAATCAGTGAGCCATGGAATGGTTTGGGCTGTAAGGGACTTTGGTGATCATCTAGCTCTGACCCTCTTGCCTTGGGCATTGAGGGATTGCTTGCACTAGATCTGGTTGTTCAGAGCCTGGCCCCAAAGTTGTCCTTGAACACTTCGAGGTGCGGGGCTACCACAGCTGCTTGAGGCAACCTGTGCCAGTTCATTAGTATCCTCACAGTCAAAAGCTCCTTCCCAATATGCTATCTAAAGCTACCCTCTGTCACTGTAAAGGCATTTCTCCTTTTCCTATCAGTATCTGCCCTTGTAAGAAGGTTCTCTGCAGCTTTAAGTCCCTGTTCCTGTGGGATGAGGGTGTGCAGTCCCTGGGGCAGGCAGTGGCTGTCTTGTGTCAGTGTCTGCTAACATCTCACAGGAAAACACCTCGCATGGCATCACAGCTTCTTTGAAATTTCACTGCCTTCCTGCTTCTGCTCCTCTCTGTTCTCTGCAGTTTTTTCCATGAGATTCTTTGCAAAACAGAATCACTCTGGAACTCCTTCAGGAAGCATGTATGTGCTTGGGTCACAAGCCAATCCAGTCACAGCCACAGTGGGTGGGCATCCACATTTCCAATGTGGATGTTTGAAGGGCAGCTGTGAATGCAACTGCTTTAGATTCAGTGTGGAAATGAAAAAGAAAAAAATCTGTCCTAATAGCTTTTAATGAACAATCTGCTACTTATTTAGTTTGATGTTGACAAATTGGCTTTATTTCTCAGGTGGAAGCATCCTAGAAGCTGTTAGTAGTTTTCAATGAGGAACATTGTTTGGAAGTTACACTTCTAAATATTTCTGTAGCGATTGTGAAATTTTTTTCAGTGATTGTCTTCTAGAGATTGAGTAATGAAGTGTAGGCATGGTAAAATATTTAAGATTTCACATGGCTTTTTATTTTGAGAAATGCTGGGTTATGTGAGTCCTGACAGGGATGATACTGACCTAAACAGAGTAGCTGACTTAATTGCTAGGATGATACCTCAGAATCTTCACTATTCTTAAGGTACATCACAATTCTCCCCAGCATGGGAAATTCTCCCCAGCATGCCAGAAAACTTTGAGAACAATGCTGAGTCTTCCAGAATTTCAGCAGCTTGTTTGGAAAGCCTTACCTGGCTTACCTGGTATTTCTGGAGCAAACAGAATTTCTTCTAAGACCATACTGGTCTTGTATTCTGGAAGTGCTTTATGTTTGGCACCCATCTAAAGTAGATCTACTTTGGAGCTCTAAGAGAAAATAGGGTGAGAGGGGAGGAAAACTAGTTAATTGCTTTGCTTCTCATAGGCAAGATATTTGTTTTTCTTTACAGGGACACAGAACAAGAGATACTGGAATTTTCTATTTTTTAGAAAAATTTAAATGGTTGAAATTTTATTTCATATTGGAAATGGATTTTCTTCAATGTATTTTCCAAGGAATTACAGCTGTCTGTAAGCATAGAAGGGCTGGAAAAAGTTAGGGTACATGGCAAATCTATTTATTTCTGCTGTTTTTTTTAAACTGCATCCTTCAATATTACTGTAGACTACGAAAAAGATTTGCTACATAAGTGATCCTATTGGTTTGCCAGGTATGTTTACACTGTTCTTTTGTTACATGGCAAGATAATATAGACATCTAGATCATTGATTATTCTTGTGTCTGTAGCACGGTGTTACTCTGAATGATGTACATACAATGTGAGGCTCAGGCATTCCAAGAGATGCATAAAGATATTTTATGGGGAAAAAAGTTAATTGCCAATTGATTTATGAACACAGCTTTCTGCAGAAATATTTAGTAGAGTTCAGGAAACTGTGATCTTTTGTGCATTTTTATAGGACAGTTGGGTGCAGTTGTGACAAGTATAAAGTTAAAAATTCAGTTTTCATATTAGCATGGGAAGCTGAATGTGACTTCCTGACTTCTACAGCTTCAGTTCTCCAGGTTCATCCACATTGCAGCTGAGAAATGTTATTCTGCAGTGTCTAACATTGCCCATACACTACACAAAGAGCCGCAAAGCAGCCATAGTAGAAGCAGGCTTTGGGTTTGCATTAATCAGATGGTGTGTAGCATCTTTATTCATATTGTGCCTGTGTAAGCTGAGAGATGCAGTGTAGGTATGTAGGTTTCTTTACCTACCATGCTGTAGGTTAAGAAACATACATATTTTACTTGAGCAATAAGGAATAAATGTTTAATGTTAAGCATGGCATTATATGGTGCAAATTAAAAAGAGAGGGAGAAAAAAAAATCGAATTGGTTGTTAATGGGAGGGTAATGACTGTGGGAAGCTTCTCTAGAAATTGGGAAAAAATTTGCTTGTAGGAGATTCTTCTGCTGGGGTTTGGAGAACTCAGGAGTACAGTAAGAGTGTGTGTGTGCATCTGAAAAGTATTCGCAGTTTTGAGATGAGGGACTAGAAGAAAATAAAAGTGAACAGAAATGGACAGAGTTGTTTTGGAAGTGAGACATTTCCAATGGTGTTTTTTTTCTGAGCAAGTGAAATATATCTCCATGTTTTTGTGTTGAGTTTTGAATCTCTTCTATCTTCTTCATGCTTTTATTTTTCTATAACCTGTATTTATGACATGATTTTTCTTTTAATTTTATGAAATGTTTATTTAAAACATACTTCAGTAAAAATGGGAAAAAACTCCTTAAAGCATGGGTCCCTATAAAGTCCATTTAAACTAAGGTGTTGAGTATTTTATTCAGTTTGCTGCTTTTGTCCACATATGACTACATGTATACATGCGCATATAAAAGGTTAATGCATTGTCTGCATTTTCCAATATCACATTGTACATTTTCAATCATATTTTAAAGCTCATCATGTTTCTCACATTCTGTCCCAAAGCCATAGAGACATCTTTGTCTAAAGATGTGTACACATTTATGGAGGGTGTGAAGTTTTTTACAATTTCCTTGGCAACTCAACAGTATTTACATCACCATAATTTTCTTATGCAATAAATATTTGCTGTTCAGCTGGCTGGGACATCCCTAATATCTTCCTTTGAGCTGTATGACTGGGATAGCCAAGATTTTTGAACTATTGTTTCCTGAGCACATGCATGGACAAAGGGCCTGTTGATTCTCTGTAAAATTGTGTAAATTTGCTTGTTTATTTCGTGGAAATGCAAGCAAGAATTATCTGTGGTGCCATAAAAATTTTGTCAGGGGTGCATATGGGAAACTGGGAAGATTTCCCAGGCAAAATACTAAATCTGTGGCTTTTCTTGCTGCTAGTTCATATTTTCTTAAGAAGTCTTCCCAAGTCCTTTGAAGTCTTTTTTCCTCAGTTGCTGAGGGCTTCTTCGATCTTCACTCATGCAGTTTTTCTGCTTTTCAGTGTTTATTCTTGGAAAAGATGTTGCTGGCGTTTCTAACTAAGTATATGATCAAAGGATAGAGTCAAACAGATGCAGGAGGACATCCTGGTTCAGCTCACACAAGGATGGTTGTGTGGATTCAGAAGAGCCTTTCAGGAATGATTGCACCTAGGCTGTAAGAGTTTCTTTTCTGCCTTAGGATCCAGGCTGGATTGTAATGTATCTAAGAGCTCCAGAAGTTCATGGCTCTGTTGTGGCTGCTGGTTTGTCCCTGTGTCAATATGTGTTACTGACCACACACTATCATTGCCCGGACCCAATCTCGTACTGCGCGGAGGACCAGTGACAGAACATGAGAAAATGGCTAGGAGCTTTTTCAGGGGAGGTTGAGATTGGACATTAGGAAAAGCTTCTTCACCCAGAGAGTGGTTGGGCACTGGAAGTGGTCACAGCAACAGCTGACAGAGTTCATGGAGCATTTGGACGATGCTGGGAGGTGGACTTCAGTGATCCTTGTGGGTCCCTTTCAGCTCAGGATAAACCTGTGATTCTGTGATGCTATGAGCACCTTATGCTCTGGAGGAAAAGGCAGTTAAATGCTTTCTGGAGGGAACATATTTCGTTTTCTGAGACACAAAAAAGGAGATGTCTACCTCAGCTGGCAGAGTACTGATCCCAGGGACTGCAGGATGCCACACGCACTAACACACGAGATGATATCCCCAAGGCCAGCGGCCACGGGAGGGCGGCAGAGCCTCAGGAACGGAGAGACGCCGCTGGAAAACGAGTTCGGCAATAACAGGAGCTACTCACAGGGGTCAGCATGTCCCATAGACAAAATAGGAGATGAGCTCAAATTTGACTCGCTTCTGCTCTTATTTCCATGGGTCATTAATTATGTCCATCCAGATTAGGCCGTAAGGTTCTTGGGGTAGGGACTTGTCTAAACGATGTATTACTAGGCACACCTATGACACTGTGCAAATAATTAACTGCTGTAATTATTGTGCTTGTGAAACACCCTCACTTGACATTGCTACGGGACAGTTATAGTCTGTATCGAATGTGGCTGTGTCAGCCAGACTAGGACCTTGAATCAAAAACTGGAGGAAGCCAAGCCCTCATTGACAAATGTGGCTTATTGCTTTGAAACATTTGTAGAAGGAAACCAAAATGTTACCCATTTAAGCTTTTCCCCTAAGTACTTCCTGGACAAGAATGATCAAACTGTCAAGGATTAATTCTTCTCAACTGAGACATTTGGGACAACCAGATTCTAATCAGGTTCTATTGGTTAGATCTCCATATTAAAACCAGGAAGAAGTGCAATAGCAAGGGCTCTTGTGAGATCTTGCCAAGTTTTTAATCTATTTCACCATCTTTTAAGATGTTCATGAGTAGCAGGTGAGGTGTCTAGGGGCATGGCCTTCCACAGATTGTGATCTTCTTCTAAGTACTGTCA